CATGCAAGCCTGTCAACATTGTCCACAGCTAGACTCAAGCTGAAATCATTCGCATTGCATCTAATGACTCCACTACGGATTGCCAGCGAGAGCCTCCATTACAAGCTATGTACAGAAATTGTACGTAGAGGAGAAGGCTAAGGTAAACCAAGCGGGAGAAGACACTGTTTCGGGAGAGAAATAAGAGACTAGGTTGATGAGCCTCTGGTGAATAAAGAGCAGGTAGCCTGTTGAGTACAATGTATGCCACTGACACGATTGTTACTTGTTTGGAACTATTTTGTGTGGAAGGTTACCGTGTTCCGTGTCCATATAAATAAAGGGTGTGGAGCTTCCCTGTGTTCGTCTGACAGTGACGGTGCACTGAGGCACGTTGAGAGTTCAGCGGTGCAGTGGTAGCGAAAATAAGAAAACGTCTCCAGTGTTGTGCCTCGAACCAAGTGTAGTCATCTGAAATGATGTCTACACAAAAACCATAGAGAGACTTCCGCGCAAGAAGGACCAACAGAATCAACATAGCCTGACTGCTGTGTTCAAAGCAAACTTGAGAAAAACGAAGTATACAACCCATGCCTTAAATCCACTATAGGCTTAGTACTAGTTTACCTTAGATGTGCACTTTATAATTTTATATTGCTCTGTTTTGAGTCCCTAAAAAAGAGCTGTTAAAGGAGCTGTTGTGTGGCAAAGTATTTTTTCACTGTTGTTGATGGACAGTAATATTGTGTGAGAGATTGTGTGAATAATTGCTCCAAGTGAAAAATGTTCATGTAAAATTGAAAATCGAAATTGTTGTTTCAGTAAATATTTGCATTTTGCACATAGAAATATGATCCATGATTCCATGTTGATGTGAGCATTAAAACGGGAATAAATAGGACGAAAAAAATACAAAAGGAAATTCAGAAACGATAAAAAAACGTGTGAGTAATCACGATTAATTATAAGTTAATTTGAGTTAATTATGACGTTGCGTTTTTAATCACGATTAAATATTTTAATCGTTTGAAAGCTCTAATATACAGTCATACCTCGGTTTTCGACCATAATCCGTTCCAGAAGGCTGTTCGAAAACCGAAACCACGCTTTTTAAAAAAAAAAAGTTTATTGAACACGTATGCTCACAATGGAAAGTGACACGAGGTAGCGTCACTTCCTCGTCTACCCGAGGAAGCGTCACTTCCTCGTGTAAGGAAAGCGAGAGGAGTCAAGTGGTGCATTCAAGTGCGCTCAGTTTGTTTGAGAACTGATTTTCGTTCGTAATCCGAGGCATAAAAAACTCGAAAACTGATTTGGTCGAGAACAGAGACATTTGAAAACTGAGGTTTGACTGTATAAATATATATATATATGCCCAAAAGGTCCTTTATTGGCTTGATCTTTCTTGCAGGACTTGCATGTCATCAGCACAGACGAAAACCGTGTTGTGGCAGCAGTACAGGAGTGGAACCAGAATGAAACCTATAATTTGTATGTGTCTGACACATCAGGTGTCTATTACACGCTGGCTTTGGAGAACGTTGTCAGTAGCATGGGCCCCGAAGGAAACGTCATGGTTGATCTATATGAGGTAAACATATATTTTATGACTTTTTGAATGATGTCTTCTACCTGTATAATAAAAATGATCCTCGTTGGTGGTGGGCTTCTTTCGTACATTAATGTATTGCAATTCTGTTCATCAACATTGTCCGAGGTGTGCCGCTTGGGGGCTTCTGACTGCAACTCTTTTATCAGTTGATAGAACAACAGGATATTTATGATGGCTGGATACGATGAAGGATTTTCTTTTTAAATTATTTTGAATTCCTTTTGGAATAAGAGCAAACATTTTTACATGATGCTTTTTTTTTGTGTCATTGTGTGAATGTAAAAAAAAAATGGTTCTGTTTTTTGTACAAATGCTACTTTTAACACAAATAGAATTAGAACCTCATTCAAAAATGTTTTTCAACCGAAATTAGTGTTAATTATGGGCCTCCGATGCAACAGAGCTATAATTTACAGACAAATCAACAGCATGTAACAATTTAATCACAAAAGAAGAAAATAATAAAGCAGCTAGGGATGCTGCTCATGTCTTACTTTGGCTCAATCTAAGGAATCAAATTCACTGTCTTGATTGGGGTCACCACCCACAATGTAAAATATTCTAAATCCTTCCTCTGGGGCAGATTGAAGTGAGTGCCAGTTGTAAAAGTTTCATTGCCTGGTGCAACTCCCTCTGACTCACTTCAGTATCCCCAAGCTACTCCTCCTCGAGCAAGCAATCAGAAACATTTTAAAAACACACTGGGCATGTGCAAATGTCCAGCCAGTCGATCATTTGCCACTCAGTGTTTGTGGCTGTCTTTGGTCTCGTTGGTAACACAAAAGAGGCAAGCGGGTTTGATTGGGTTGCTTTGGCGCTTTGGATTTTGATTCTAGTATAATTGTTTTCATTTTCACTCGTGTTACTGTGACAGAAATCATTTCCAAGTTGTTATTTATTTTTGGCTTTGTCTCTGAGCTGTTTGATTTTTTTTTCTGCTTTTACAGGTGGCAGGAATAAAAGGCATGTTCTTGGCCAACAAAAAGACAGATAAGCAAGTAAAGACACATATTACCTACAACAGAGGCAGAGACTGGAGGTTATTACAGGCACCAAACAAAGACCTGCGAGGCAATACCATACACTGTATGCCAGTGAGTCTCTGCATTTATTTATCAGTCTATCCATTTTCTTTCTTTGTTAGTCCCCATAAAGTCCACTGTGGACTGGTTACCAGTCCATCGCAGAGCATAGACAAGCAATCATTCACAAGCAAATGTACACACATTGCGAGTTGTCAATGAACCTATCAAGCATTGGATTGCTGAAGGGAATGCAGACATTGTGAAGTGTGTAAAACCTTTTGGAATAACCTGGATAGGTTCATACATGGATCATAAAATGTCATGAGAGCTTCACGAGAGTGACACCATTTTCTTCAACTCATACTACAGAATGTGTGTACGTGTGTGCGTGTGTGTGTGTGTGTGTGTGTGTGTGTGTGTGTGTGTGTGTGTGTGTATGTGTGTGTGTGTGTGTGTGTGTGTATATATATATATATATGTGTGTGTGTGTGTGTGTATAAATTTTTTTTGTTGATTTTCTATCCCTTTAATTATTCAAAAACATGACATTGCTTCTAACTGATTGTGCACATATTGTGATTCAGTTGCTATTTTGGTCTGTAACATGTCAGAAAATAGGGGGAAATATAGATATCGCCAAAGAAAAAGCAGCTGGTTGCAAATATCCTATTTGAATTAAAGGAAAAGAGAAACAAAGCAAAACAGTCACTAGTCACATTTATGTGAGCCTTTGTATTCCAATTTGAATCAAACAAATGGAGTGGAAATACCCCATACATCACAGGGCAAATCAGAATGGAATTTTCATTTGGTTTCAAAGGGGTGGCATATTCCTGTTGCCAATCATGCTGGATTATGAGTATGAATTTACTGACTCACTATTAATTTCATTTATTCTAAGTTTAATCATAAAAGTTGTAGAAGGAAAATAAGAAGAAAAAGTGCTTCAAAACTATTCCCCTTCAACCAGTTATCAACTGAACGTTCGGTGGCACCCACATAAATATGAAGAAGAAGAAGAAGAAGCCTGACTTCGTTTCATTAATTTTTCACGTTTACATTAACTATTGAGATTACCACAGCGATCAATCTTGAATGTCTGGTCCAAGTCCAGACAGCAACCACCCCCAGTCTGAAACTCCGCAGTCATTGAAGGTTTCCAACTGCTGAGCTGAGCACGATGAAGCTAGATGCTAAAGCTAATCCACTGCCGGTGGCAGCATTCACTCTCATAGAAGGTAAAGCCCATGCATGTCCTTTGAAAATAAGACATAATTTGCTCAATTCTCAAACGATTTCCATGAGGCTGATTGATTGATTGATTGATTGATTGATTGATTGATTGATTGATTGATTGATTGATTGATTTGCCAAAGCTAATCAAAACCGTAGCATTTGTCCTTATTTTTATGACGCCAATGAATTTAACGCAGGCGTGTCATATGATCTGCCCACTCGGTTCTCAGAATGAATTGCATGACGCAATATATTTAATCAATGAAATTATAGGGACGCCAGTCATTGACACATACGTATTCCATGATCGACTTTGTAGTCGTGTCATCGGATTTGCGGGCGCATGTTTTGGATACTCGGGTGATGAGGAGGCCAAGCTATCAACTGATCACCACCTGTGTTGGCTCCGATGTTGGAGGAAGATGCCGGCCCAACCTTGGCAGACCCAAATCTCTTGTGAGGGGTCGCTGGGAAGGTCTGGCAGGATCCCCACTTAGAAAGAGTTTAATCTCCGAACTCCGGCAGAACTTTGCCCACGTGATATTGAGTCTGAGTGGATCATGTTTGGTGCCTCCATTGTTGAGGTGGCCGACAAAGTGTTCTGAGCCAGGTCAACTAAAAAGTCATCCAGTTTAATGTAGTCCAATAAGCAAAACTCTCATTAAAAATTTGTGGATGGAACCAGGCAAAACTGAAAAAAAAATGCTATTGATGTTCTTTTGTCAATTTATTTCTAAAAGCAACTGGGAATATGTTGTTACTTTTCAAACATAGAAATGTACCTCTTTGTTTGGGGGGGCTTACCCTGATGAATGAGAAAAATAGTCTTGATATAGTTTGATATCATTTCCTGAGGACTATGTGTTTGCAGATCAGAAAGAGCTTTATACACCAACAGTCACTCTTCTTTCTTCAGTGTCCCGTTCTGCCGCAAGCTTTGCCTTCTACCCATATTATACGGCAATTTGTCAGCAAATGTCAACGTCTTAATAAACCCCTAAACATTCTGTCACCGCATGGCCTGCATCACTGGCATTTTGCTCGGCCGTAATGAGAATAGTGCTGTTAAAGGTTAACCAAATCAAAACTAATGGCGAGCCCAGCCAATAGAGGAATGGCATATGTGATACATTGACTGACATGGGATTATTGGATTATTACCCAAAGAGTTACATCATTTTGGGGGGATTTTTTTTTTTTTTGTGCTGCTTTGGGTTAGGCTTAATAGTTTGAAGAATTAGCCCTGTGACTATTTTTGTTTTTGTTTATTTACACAGCCATATTGCTCATTGCATCTTCATCTTCATGTCTCTGCAAATCCCTACACATCTGGAAACATAGCAAGTAGGGACTCAGCACCTGGGATCATTGTAGCATCAGGTGAGTTTTTGACGCATTCTTTTCCTAATCACTATGTCGTGCTAATAGCATCACTCAATAGAAGATTAAACTTGGAAACATCCGTAAACAGCATAAAAACACAAGATAAATTCAAAAGACCTCAAAGATAAAGTCAGTTGCAATTATTGTCTGAATCAGTGTTGTCAAATATACATCCCATGGGCCGGAACTGGACCCGGAGGAGGTTCGATCAGGCCCGCAGGATAATTTAAAAGTGAAAAAAATGCATAAAAAACATGGAACGAACATTTTTAATAAGATGCAATTCCTGGATTATCCAATGTTTTCTATTTAGTTTGTAAAGTGTAGGCAGGGATTACATTTAGATTTTATATGCACATGTGTAACTGGTTTAAAAATTCCTTTCTTTATAAATGTCGTTTAATCTTAAAATGCATTACTATATTTTTCAATACAAATTACTTGTTAAAGTTTTGTGCCTTTGTACAATCAGTGGGATCATGTGCAATGCATACTGTATATGTGCATGATCAAAGTAAATTGCACATTTGTCTCAGGAAATCTAAGGTGTTTCAGGAAATGTTTTGTAAAAGATATAAATTTCAACATGTTCCTAATGTTCTTGTGCTTCTTTAGACCAAAACAAAGGAAGACTTTGGTTATTTATAGCAGAGTATGGTATAATTTTAATGGTCCGGCCCACAATGTGAAATGAGTGTGATACCCCTGGTCTAAATGAACCAATGCCAGTCTTGTGTGAGTTGAGTATTTGGATCCCTTTATGTTTTATAACGCAAATGTTTTGGGTTCAGAGGGTGTCAGGCCATTGCTCATCCGAAGAATACAAACTGGACTATACAAACGTTAACTGTACTGCAGTACTTTAAAACCCATAAGAGCCCAGACCCATTTTTCCAAAAGGTTTTGATGGGTTAAAATCAGACAAAAAGTTTTGAAAAAAGATACTGGGGAGTTCAAACTGTTTGTTACACTGGTGTCACCGTGGGCTCTTATGGGTTAAAAGGGAACTATCTATCTATCTATCTATCTATCTATCTATCTATCTATCTATCTATCTATCTATCTATCTATCTATCTATCTATCTATCTATTCCCCTCCCCCCACTCTCTCATACCTTAAATTTTAGAGACACCTCTGAGAGCTGTGATATGGACTCACTAACAGTATAAGAGAGATAATAAGATGTTCATTGCAACATGCGCCACCTCACAGAGAAAGGCAGAGCACCACCATTTCATTTCTGCCTCTGACCAGCAAAGTTTCTGCCAGAAAACGAGGCAAAGGAAATACACATTGTAGCTCACTGTGGAGGAAAAGTAAGAACTGCCCGAAAATGAGACCACCGACCCCCCCTGGGTGAATTCACACATCTGTGATATTTACTCCCACATGAATCCTCAGTGTCAATAACTCAGCAGCTCAGTGCCGCAGGTGTCTGGAGATGCACAAGTTTTCTTCAAAAGTGTGGGTGTATGGACCTTGCCTTAAACACATGGAAGCAATGTGAGAGTGGGGGGGGGGATATCGAATTTAAATATGTATACATTGTAGGCCTTTTTAATAACATACATTTTCTCCCTGAATCACACATTTCAAAGTTTTTCCTAAAAGTCAGCATTTATTTTCCACCTAAAGTGTTGAACATAAATGACTGCACCCTTTTGGAAAAAGCAAGCTTTTCATCAATTTCTCAGTGAACAACAAAACAAGATGTTGAGAATTTTGACGATGATTAGACAAATCCGATGTTATGAATTTGAATTTTCAATCTTCAATTTCGCTTTGCCGGACTTTTTGCTGAATTTCGTAGTTGTGAATTTTCAATTCGGAAAGGAAATTTCCGATTTTATTCTCTTATAAACCTGTCCTGTTTGGCTGCTTCGTCATGGCGTATGTTGTTCTGTTTGCCTAATCATATCCGAACAGTTTTGCAGTGCAACGGGGGGTTGATATACCCCTTGTGTTGCAGTTTGTATTGAAATGGATTTTTATTGGAAATGAATTAGCACAGTACAAAGTTTGAGAGGCGAAAGAGTTGGCTGTCAAATTGAGGCGGTACGAATCGGTACATTTGTACAAGCTGTCACTCTTTTTCCAACAGAAGGGCTATCCGTTTCTGATTGAGGGCACATACATCTCAAAAAACTGCATCCACCCAGCCACCACCAGCTGTTGGTCATCAAGTGAGATTTGCACGTCACTAAAAGACCTGCAGTGTATATGATCCAAACAATCACTGTCCATTGCCTCCGCTTTAAGCTCAACTGTCATTTGCTTGACGGCCAACAAAAACTTTCCCACGGATGAGCAACGGCAGTCTATTGAGCTATATTGTGACCATTAACTCCGGAACAGGTTGTTTGCCCCCCCCCGGCCCCCTCCCCACCCATTTGAAAGCGCACATTCAGGGCTCAAATCTAAAACCGGTCTCTCCTCGCATTAAAATGTAATCCTCAAAAATAATCTACATTTGTCTTATACTGTATATTCCTGGAATCAGATTTTTTTTTCTTTCTGTTACATCAATGGACAACAGTTCATTTAAAAAAATGTTTGATCCTGATTACATAATTAGGGGTGTCCCGATCTGATCTTGAAATAGGCTATTGGTCTTATATGAGACAGAAAACCCCCCAAAAACCATTGGATTAAATCAATTAAGTGTTTATTGACTTTATTGGGGTTATTTACCAGGGTCCTTTCACTCATTTTGTTTTAATTGTTATTCAAGTGTAGTTCAATCTCATATTTGAGGTTGACTTGATGTAACCCAAATGTTTGGAATAAATGAGTCATCTTGTCTCATACCTCCTGTTGTGAACTATTGATCTTTGTGTATATGGGACCACTTGATAAAGTCTCTTGAAACATTTCATACAAAAAATAAATAAATAAAAGTGTGTTTGATTACTGCTGATATCGTATGGGATCAATATCGGAAATCATATAACATAATAAGTGAAACAGTGAATAAAATTGTGTCACTCCTCAAGATAACGTCAGTTCACTTATTCTCTTACTTCCAAAGCCCACTGACGAGGCGCATGCCTAAAATGAAGTTGCGACACGCTTTGCGAAAATTCACATAGTTGTCTTTTGTTTGCATGAAAGGTTCCTTTGGTTCTGAGCTGACCACCAGCAACGTCAGCGTGTACATCACCTCAGATGCAGGAAACACATGGAGACAGGTGGGCTGTATACGCAAAATATGCTGTTATTCGCCACTCTTTTCATATGCTTCTATTTTTTTGTGGTGGATCGTAAAAGTTTTTTATGTGAGAGAAAAAGGCAGGTCAAAAAATGTCAACACCGGTCAAAACATGTCAGGAGGAATCTAGATAGGCTTATGTTATGAAAATGAGACAATCCAGTATCGGACGGAGTGGGGAGCTTTTTATAAGATTTTTTTTTATAACATATCCTTGTTTGTCTATGCCAATGATTCATAGAGGCAGACAGAACTAATTCATGATCCTCTTTTCGATAGCAGAAAGTATAGAACTGACATGTGTCTCCACTTAAGTGACATTTTTGTTTGGTGGTGTGCTGTGATATTTTTTGAACTTAAAATGGGTGGATGAATGGATGGATACTTTATTCATCCCATTATGTCAATTTGCTTGTTGTTGACATAATGTGTGGAATGGACGAAAAAAAGACGACAAATTAAGTTTATTAAGGCAACGTTAAACCTCGCTCCCCTCAGCCATATCGCACAGGCACGCACACACACATATACAAATCCCGTAATTGTGATACAACGCTAATGACGATATATGACGTCACCACAAAATACTACTTTTATTCCCCGTGCCAAGTTTACCTGTTGTTTATTGTTAATAGGGTTGTAAATAGTAAATCTGTGGAGGATTTGTGACTCAAGGTAAAACTTATTTTATGGTGCACGCATCGGGCTAGCATCTTAGTTCCATCAGAACAAGACTTTGACCACTCAAACTTTTATTTGGAAATGTGATTGAAGATAAATTGGTCCTTCAGTATGCGCCGAACAGCGTCACCACTTCCTCCTTTCATTCGCGTGTGGATGTCTGGAGCCGCACGACATGGCCAGTTCACCCGCGTCCCCTACCATCCATAAACACTTGTTTGCTCAGCAACGCCGTATCGAGTGACTGGAACCACGGCGGCCCGACGAGCAACATGACAATTGTGATAATTTATCCACCTGTGTTGAGTGTTCAAATAAACAATGGCGTCACTCTGTCCGTGTAGAAAATGTAATCCTGAGTAATAATTACTGTTTTTAATGAATGTACCTGTCATCTGATGACATGTTTTTTGTAACGGAATACAGATACTTTTTTAAAAAATATTGTCATTACGTAACACCAGTACATGTATTCCGCATAGTCACGGCTTTGTGGTTACTGAGCAGACCATCAAAAGTCATTATTGGTTTTGGTCGGAAAATTATGTAAAGCCGAACGGTTATGTCACAAAAGCACAAATCAGAGATCAGCCAAGCAACACAAAATTCTGCCGAGCTACAAGCTCTCGATGCATTCAAGTTACCAGTGTACAACATAGCACATGGAGCAATTTCTGTAAATATTAATCCAAGCACACCATTTACACCTCATTAACTTTTTTATTGGTGTACGTCAGAATGTTACAAATTAAATCTGAGGAGTAATTTTGTTCACAGCATTCAGTGTCGGTAACCATCTTTTAGCTCAATTCATATCCAGATGTTTTTATTTAGATGGGCCTGTTTCCATTCAATTTAGTCTTATTGGAAGTTTACAGACAAGCATTACTATAGATGCGAAAGAGACAGTAGAACATGTTTTGTACTTTGTGGAGATTACAAATAAAATACCTTAGGTTGTGAGTCTCTCTCTCTCTCCCTCCCTCCCTCCCTCACTCCCTGAAGATATTCAATGAAGAGTATGCAGTGCTGTATCTTGACCAAGGAGGAGCCTTGGTTGCAATAAGGCATACTCCACTCCCCATCAGACACTTGTGGTGAGTCATGATGACAGAAGCGCAATCAGTCACTGCATGACTCACTCCTGGAAATGAAACCCAAAGTATGAAGTTCATCAAACAAAAACTAATGAGTTTATCGTATAACTGGGGGGGGGGGGCGGCATTATTATAGTGGGGTGAACTCCTTGCAAACCACTAAAAAAATCTGCATTGAATTGTCTTTTGATTGCACCTTCCTCTCTGAGAATTTATAGACTGTCTAACTGCCAGTGATCGATCTTCATTTGTAATACCCGAGCCCTGTGCAGACTATGAAATCAAGTTATTAGACAACGTTCGGGGTCATTAGCTTGTGTAACCAGTGTGGGCCGCAAATGTAATTTGATGTATGTGTTCCCAGGTTGAGCTTTGATGAAGGACGGCAGTGGAACAAGTATAGCTTCACCAGTACACCTCTGTTCGTAGATGGTGTGCTGGGAGAGCCTGGCGAAGAGACACTAATCATGACGTGAGTGAAGATTTGCCATCACAGCAATCCATCCACCACACATCACAAGAAACTACAAATGTGTTCGCCCTACGTGGTAACCCCCGATCAGATGTTTGCATCCGTTTCCAAATTATCCGTCATTCCTTACTGTTCTCTTTTCAAAACAAACAAGGTCTTGACACCTTGCAAAATGTTTGGGCAGACAGCAAAAGCATGACTGCCGTACGGTTAATCCGAGTAGCCTTCCTTTAAAAAAAAAAAAAAAAAAAAGTTTGAACTGCATTCATAAGAGAGTTGATCTGATGCAATGAGTCATTGTGTACAGAACCACTTCATAAACCCTCCTCTAGCGGCCGTTCACAATTATTAGAACAGCTCAGGGTGTGTGTTGTGTGTTGTATGGCACAGCGCAAGTCCCTGATTGCAGGAGGTTTGAACATGGCTGGGGTATGAATGCAATCAGAAGACCCTGCGATGCAAAACTGGTATGAATAAGCGGAAAGCGTCTCACAATCTTCTCATTGTTGAGAAAACACAGTTGGTGATGATATTGTCGGGTTTCCACTGACAATGGGTTCTCCGGCATCATGTCTCAGCTAAAAGAAAGAAAGAAACACGTTTTCAAACACCCATCAGCCTCAATTATCATATCTTTAATTATGTTTTATGGATGAGGACAAGTTAGAGCCAAGAAACTCACCACACAATAGCTGGAGATTAAATATTCATTTGATTCATACATTGCTCTTTTTTTTTTTTTCCTCATGACCGCTTAGATCAGGGGTGTCAAACTCATTTCACATTGTGGGCCACATACGGACTCGGTAGATGTCAAGTGGGCCGAACCATTAACATTATACCATACTGTACTGTGAATCACCAAAATATCATCTCTTTCCTTTGTTTTGGTCTCAAGAAACATTGATTGGCACTTTCATATCATTTGCTACGTTGGGTCTATCTCAGTGACAGACTGAGACTGCTGTTTTCTTCCCCAATCAAAACAATGTTGTCTTCTACTGCAGTGTTTTTCAACCCCTGTGCCGCGGCACACCAGTGTGCCGCAAGACATTGTCAGGTGTGCCGCGGGAAAATATCCAATTTGTATCTACGCCAGGGGTGTCAAACGTACGGCCCGCGGGCCGGATGCGGCCCGCAAAGGACTTTAATCCGGCCCGCAAGATGATTTTGTAAAGCAGTGGTGTCAAACATACGGTCCGCGGGCCGTTCAATCAGGCCCCACAGGATAATTTAAAAGTGAAGAAAATGCATAAAAGACACAGAATAAATATTTTTAATAAGGTGCAATTCATTGAGTATCCGCTAGGGGACACTGTTTTGATCAGAGAAGAAGACAACAGCAGCCTCAGTCTGTCACTGAGACAGACCCATGACAGCAGACGCTATCAATAGCACTCTCACATTTACACATTTAATAGCACTCTCCTTAGTTTGTAAGGTGTAGGCAGGGATTACATTTAGATTTTATATGCACGTGTAAATGGTTTAAAACTTCCTTTCTTTGTAAATCTCGTTTAATTTTAAAGTGCATTACTATATTTTTCAATACCAATTACTTGTTAATGTTTGTACAATCAGTGGGATCAGTTGCAATGCATATATGTGAATGATAAAAGTAAATTGCACATTTGTCGAAGGAAATGTAAGGTGCTTCATGAAATGTTTTGTAAAAGATATGTTCATTAAATTTCAACATTTTCCTAATGTTCTTGTGCTTTTTAATACCAAAACAAAGGAAAGACATATTGTTTTGGTTATTTATAGCAAAGTATGGTATCATTTTAATGGTCCGGCCCACTTGACATCTACCGAGGCCGTATGTGGCCCATCATGTGAAATGAGTTTGACACCCCTGGTTTAGAGTAACAATATAACACATTAATTATTCAAATAAGCGTTTTTATTTTTCACATTTTCAGCTAGTGGTGTGCCGCGAGATTTTTCCAATGAAAGAAGTGTGCCTTGGCTCAAAAAAGTTTGAAAAACACTGTTCTACTGTGATCAAAACAGTGTGCCCCCCTAGCGGATAATCCACGAATTGCATTTTATTTAAAATATTCATTCTGTGTCTTTAATGCATTTTTTTTTCACTTTTAAATGATCCCGCGGGCCGGATCGAACCTCCTTGGGGGCCGGTTCCGGCCCGCGGGCCGTATGTTTGACACCACTGGCTTAGATTATCATTTGTCGAGGCATATTTATGATTGCTTTTCCAGCAACTCACTGAAGTCTGTAATATTGTATCTGCTCAAGCTCTTAAAAATAAATCCTTTTCTGATACATTATGACACTGATCCATTGGCATTTCAATTGGTTACTGTTAGCGACGTGGAAATCAAATGGCACCACAATTTGTTTGTGATTGTTTTGGGGTTTTTTTCTTCTAATTTTGTGTATGAGCATGAGGGTCAGAATAGTCAGCTGAAATTTCTCGAGGTGATAGTTTATCGGCAGGCTCCAGTCAGCCAAATATGGGAAAAAAAAAAAACAAAGAATCTTTCCATCAAGATTGTCCCAGCCACTGCAATTGATTTCAACACAATGTGTGTCATTTTGTTTATTGTTACATTAGGAATGGGTATATTCATTCATTTAATTCTTTTTTTAAAAGTATCTTTTGAATGGGATTTATTGCTGATGAATTATCTTAATTCATCAGCAATAATTGATAGATATCCTCAGGGAGTAATTGATAGATATTCTCATGCATCTATTAAATGAGTTACTGACAGTGAAAAGTAGACAGATGACTGAACATTGCTTGGAGAGTCTTGCTGTATAAAGTTTGTGTAAGTTCCTTTGACGTTTTTGGCTGAGGTACTCACTAGTACAGATGAAAGGACGAAATGCATGGCAGCATTTCTGGGTAGCGGGGCAGCCCGGTGTGCTAGTGGTTTGCGCGTCGACTTCACAATGCAGAGGTATCGGGTTCAATTCCAGCTCCGGCCTCAAGTTGTGGAGTTTGCATGTTCTGCGTGGGTTTTCTCCGGGTACTCCTGTTTCCTTCCACATTACAAAAACATGCATGGCAGGTTAATGGAACACTCTAAATTGTCCCTAGGTGTGAGTGTGACCGTGGATGGTTGTTCGTCTATGTGTGCCCTGCGATTGGCTGGCAACCGGTTCAGGGTGTCCCCCGCCTACTGCCCGAAGACAGCTGGGATAGGCTCCAGCATCCCCCGCAACCCTTGTGAGGATAAGCGAATTGGAAAATGGATGGATGGATGGAGGTGCGGCATGTTACGTGCTTCCAGTCTTTGCGTGTTTCAAGCTCGTGGGACACATTTTTAAACACTTTAGAATGATTGAAAACAAAGAATATTGAACATTGTTTACTCACTTATAATATTTTCATTTATAATCCAAGACTCCACAAAAGTCTTAGACCTCCAATGGATTTTTTTTGTTTGTTTGTTTGTTTATGATTTTAGCCTTTGGCTAGTATGAAATCGCAATGAAGATTTAACGTTTGACACCCGACCCACTAGAATGAAGGATGGAAGTCAGGCAATCTGTTAAGGCAGGGGTGCCCATTAGGTCGATCCTGATCGACCGGTAGATCTAGGACTGGGCCCATGTAGATCTGTGGGGTGTAAAGGAGAAAAAAACAAACAGCCATTTGTGTGTCTTTGTACATGTTAGTAATATATTTTTGTGTTGATGTACACTGCACCCTAATGAACCTATCAGTCTCATTTTCACAAAAAAAAAAAATAATAATAAAATAAAATGAAGCAGGTAAATCTTTAACCAATGGTGGCGCGTGACCGACGTCACCGGAAGTGGTTAGCGCTCAGCAGTCTGCAATTGCACCTTGTGATCAGAGCTGTTGCGCTTTATCTTTTATCGTCATTATTCTCATTCAGAGTTTGCTGCGTGTACAATTCACCGAGGGCACGGGCAAAGAATAGGACTCTCGAAGGCCCAGGGAAGCACTTTAAAATGGTACGTGTTAGCTACGATAGTTAACAGGCTGCAAAAGTGCATCACATGCCTCCGCGTCAAGCTGTTTCTCATCATGGCGTGCGTGCGTGCGTGTGTGTGTGTGTGTGTGTGTGAGCGCGTGCGCGGTAAGGGGCGATCCTGGGAGGTTGGTTGATCGAAAAGTCGATCTTCGGTCCAAAAAGTTTGAGCACCCCTGTGTTAAGGCATTGTAATACACAGTAAGCGACAAAATGGACCAGTGATTGCAATTAAGTAAAATAGCAAAGTGATTTCACCTCCATTGTTCTTCTTCTTATCGATCAAGTCTTTTAGATTGATAGAAAGCCCTCATTTTTTCAATATTTTTAGCTATTAACTAGAGCTGTCAGTTTAGCGTGTTACTATCTGCATTAATTTAAATCAATTTTAACGCGATTAAATTTTTTATTGCGAGATTAATGCGGCAACACGTCACAGCGGATGTTACGTTGCTCTATAAATAAACCGGAAACAAAACAACAAGCGCGTTGCACAGGTCCACGCCCATGTCTGTTTTGCCAGCCACGGCAGCGCGAGACACTGAAAACGGACACTTAAAGAGTTTATGAATGCAAAGTTTACTTTTAAAAAGTTGCCAGATAGTTCCACTGACAAGACCAAACTTACCTGGATGTTTTGCAGTCGTAAACTGAGCTATCATCATATCACGTCGAGTCTGAAATACCACTTAATGGCGGCCCCCTCGTCTAAGACAGACAGCTATGGATCATTTCAAAGCGAAGAAAATGGATAACACGACGAAGAACACATTTGCTGAAGCCATAGCTAAATGTATGGCTACTGCATGCAAGCCTGTCAACATTGTCCACAGCTAGACTCAAGCTGAAATCATTCGCATTGCATTTAACGACTCAACTACGGATATAAATAAAAGGGGTGGAGCTTCTCTGTGTTCGTCTGACATTGACGGTGCGCTGAGGCACGTCGAGAGTTCAGTGGTGCAGTGGTAGCGACCACGCAGAAAATAAGAAAATGTCTCCAGTGTTGTTCCTCGAACCAAGTGAAGTCATCCGGAATGATGTCTACACAAAACCATAGAGAGACTTCCGCGCAAGAAGGACCAACAGAATCAACATAGCCTGAATGCTGTGTTCAAAGCAAAAAACGAAGCATGCAACCATGGCTTAAATCCACTATAGGCTAAGTACTAGTTTACCTTAGATGTGCACTTTATAATTTTATATTGCTCTGTTTTGATTCCATAAAAAGAGCTGTTAAAGGAGCTGTTGTGTGACAAAATATTTTTTTCACTGTTGTTGATGGACAGTAATATTGTGTGAGAGATTATGTGTGAATAACTGCTCCAAGTGAAAAATATTCATGTAAAATTGAAAATTGAAATTGTTTCAGTAAATATTTGCATTTTGCACATAGAAAACTGATCCATGATTCCATGTTAATAAGAGCATTACAACGGAAAAAAATAGGACAAAAACTATAAAAGGAAATTCAGAAACGATAAAAAATGTGTGAGTAATCACGATTAATTATGAGTTAATTTGAGTTAATTATGAAAGTTGCATTTTTAATCAGATTAAATATTTTAATCGTTTGACAGCTCTAACACATATATATATATATATATATATATATATATATATATATATATATTACATACAAAAGTAGGTATGTATTCTTATTTACATAGGAATGCCGAAAAAATAGTAATGTAAAGAAAGATTCCGTTTTTTCTTTTGACTGTATGAGTTGGCATCTTTTTATATAATCATCAGAGGTATTCATGGCTTTTTTTCCAGGATATTTGGCCACGTCAGTCATCGCTCAGAGTGGCAATTGGTGAAAATAGACTTCAGGTCTATCTTCAACAGGAGATGCACGGAGGCAGACTATCAGACGTGGCACCTTCACAATCAGGTATCATGACAGCACAGCAATACTGACTGATAGTACAGTACATGTGTATAGTAGAGTCATGGTACATGTTTTCACACTTGCCCCAGCTCTGCGGAACGAGCCAAAGCAATAACCAATGTTATTAGTGTGTATGCAATAATTCAGCCTGTGCACTTGTACGGATTGTTAATTTCCGAAAAAGCGAAACAGAAGCTAATTGTTCCTGAAAATTAAAGGATTTAAGATGCGAAATTCCTTATTTTTATTTCCTCGTGTACAATATTTTGTCTATTGCAAAGCTATTGAGAATTTACTGCTCGCAGTTTGCATTTTCATTACATTGAATTTTGCATGTCTTTGAATCTATATTTGTTTAACCCCCCCCCCACCCCCAAAAAAGTAGTTTTGTATTTAGCATGTCGTTCACTTCCTGTGCCAAATGTTAACCAAACAATGTGACACTGAAACCAAGGTAGGGATTGAAGTGTGATTCCACGTTATTGAACTAAAATAGTTTCATCAGGAATGTAAAATGGATGTTTTTTTTATGCTCTTTCTATTTTTACAAGGGGCATTCAATAAGGAATTGGTTCGGGTTCAATGCATGGAAATTATGATACAATAGATAGGATAGGATACAATGCCGTTTGAGAGTAACCGGGGCTTGGAAAAAAACAAAACACTCACTGACTGCTGCAGAGTGTAGACCAGGGGTGTCAAACATACGGCCCGCGGGCCGGAACCGGCCCGCAAGGAGGTTCAATCAAGCCCGCAGGATAATTTAAAAGTGAAAAAAAATGCATAAGAGACACAGAAATTAATATTTTTAATAAGGTGCAATTCATTGAGTATCTGCAAAGGGACACTGTTTTGATCAGAGAAGAAGACAACAGCAGCCTCAGTCCGTCACTGAGACAGACCCATGACAGCAGACGCTATCAATAGCACTCTCACATTTACACATTTAATAGCACTCTCCTTAGTTTGTAAGGTGTAGGCAGGGATTACATTTAGATTTTATATGCACGTGTAAATGGTTTAAAACTTCCTTTCTTTATAAATCTCGTTTGATCTTAAAGTGCATTACTATATTTTTCAATACCAATTACTTGTTAAAGTTTGTACAATCAGTGGGATCAGTTGCAATGCATATTTGTGAATGATAAAAGTAAATTGCACATTTGTCGAAGGAAATGTAAGGTGCTTCCTGAAATGTATTGTAAAAGATATGTTCATTAAATTTCAACATTTTCCTCATGTTCTTGTGCTTCTTTATACCAAAACAAAGGGAAGACATATTGTTTTTGTTATTTATAGCAAAATGATAATTTTAATGGTCCGGCCCACTTGACATCTACCGAGGCCGTATTTGGCCCACCATGTGAAATGAGTTTGACACCCCTGGTGTAGACCATTACAATGAAATGAAATTGCAAGAAATTTTACAATCATGATTACAATCTTGTTTGATATGTAGTACACTGTGTTCAGACAGATCATTTCAGGTCTGGGAGAAAGCTCTTTATGCGAAGCAATGCGTCGGAGTCAGATTTAAGACTTGCCCTCAGCCTCGTAAATGATGAAAAAAAGTTATGTTTTGCTAAACCTTCACCATCAATTCTCACATTGTAGAGAGATACCCCAAACTGGTATTTCTATTGTTTCTAAACACTGAATATGTATACAGTTGTCTCTGACGTGTGCTCTGAGTCAATCTTTATTTCTGCAAACCCGGGAAGCCGTCAACCTGATCACACCTGAAGCCAAGCTGAAGACTTGTTTTTCCTTTATAGATAGCTCAATCTCGGCATCCATATGCTCAGAGGCTAATGATCGACATGCAGCACAGAACAGACTCAAATCAATGCCTTTCTTCCATATGGACCAATGGTCAATCGCACTTACAACATGAAAAAGATGACATAGACATGTTCAGATGCTTGAATTTTCTATTTATGGAAGTAGCCAGAATCTTTAAACATTTCACTACTGACACCTAATGGACAAAGGCAGAATGTTGTGCTAAAAGGAGCAGTGCAGTGTAAAAAAAACAAAACAAAAAAACAAAACTAGTGTAACTCAATCAGAATCACAAGAGGTGTGTAAAGATGTTGAGCGTAGCATAATCCCTAAAACAGATATGCATGACATTCCACAGTAAATCTTAATCCAAAATTTGCATTTCCACACGGTGTGATGCATACATGAATGAGATCCTCTAAGTCACATATGTCAAAGTGCCGGCCCGCGGGCCAAATCTGGCCCGCGAGAATGTTTTCAATGGCCCCTGGGATGATATTGATTTATTATTAGAACCGGCCTGCGGACCGCAGCAAGCCGAGAGCCCGCAGATCTTTTACACGCACCAATACTACATTTCCCACAATGCAACGGTGACGCGCCAAGCAGTCGGCCGCTTTATTTAAATATTTATTAGTCTAGCAGTCGTTCCCATAACAGTGACATTCGCTTTCAGATACCCATCAAAAATGGCAAAACGGAAGGTGGACACTGAGAACCGGGGGTTTCAAACAAGGTGGGAGTCGAAGTACATGTTCATGGACGTAGCTGGAAAACCTGT